TCGACTTTTCATTTCGACTTTGACCTCCAAAGTCAAAACATTTCGACTTTTGGGTTTTCATTTTGACTTCATGTATAATGATAACCACATAAATGAGGATGCTTGCTTTAATTTTTTCAAAATTCTAATAATTAGTTTTAGTGAATTTTAATAAAGTTTAATATAGTTTTATCATAGTTTTTTTTAGTTTTAGTATTTATTATACAATTTTATCATTTTATAGTTTGGTATAAGTAATTATAAGATTTTAATATAGTTTCAGTAATGTTTTAGCATTTTAGCTTTTCATCATTTTGGCTAGTAGAAAAACCCTCTAGATTCTCTAATAATCTTATATGTAAAATGAAATATTAATATTTGATGTATTATTTTATTAATTAATTTATTTACGCTTATTTTCTTTTTAAAAAATAGCTATATTATCTTCTTTTAATGTATTCATTATTAAAGAATTTTTTTCATTTGAAAGAGATATCCTTGATATTAATGTTTTTATTTAAAATATCACTGACAATAGATTTATCAGAAAAACTAGTTGAAGTATTGATAAAATTTTTAAAGTTTATAAAATTCTATAACCTTCATTTCTAGTTTGATATAACAAACCCTTGATATATTGAATTTTTAAATCAAATATATTAAAATTATCTTGCTATAGTGAACTAACCAATTAAATTCTTTAAAAAATTCATTATAAGCTTATAACAAAGTTGATATTCAGATCTTAGAATTTGTTATATTAAGAGTTCACTTTATATGTAGCTGTTTATATTAAATTATAGATATACTTTTCATTATTGAAATTAGTTTTATTGTATATATGTAGAAGAAATTGTTTATCATATTATCATATTTTTCATTTGGTTTTTAAACTAGTCAGAATATTTCTAGAATAGTAAAATTAAAATATTCAGCAATGATTTTATCTCTATTTCAAATAAAGGTAAATATGATTGATGTAAAGTTAATAAAAAAATATAATAAAAAAGCAAAAAGTTTTAAAAGTGTTTATTTTTGTAAAAAATGTGGTTTAGAAAAGATAGAAAGAGCTTTTTGCCTACAAATCTAATTAAAGTTATTCATTTTTAAAGATTATGGCATATTATTGGTTAGAATTAGGTAAAATCTTAATTATGTAATCACAATAGTCTTTATGATGATTAAGATGATACTAAAACCTTTAAAAAAGTCAGTATAAAGCTATTATTCTTTGAAAACTTAATAAAAAAAATATTTTTCTTTTATAAAATACTGTAATAATTAAATGTTTATTTTATGACTCTTGCATAAAAAACTTTTTATTACATGAAAGTATGAAATACTTTTGCAAAATTTGAAATATAAGAAAAAAAAGAAAAAAGTAGAATCCAAAATGAAAGTGTAAAAATTTATTGATTTAATATGTAAATTATTATAAGATATATATAAATTAGCTTAATATATTAAAATTTTTCATAGTAATCTTTTATATATATATATATTTTTTGATTTAATTCAAGTATGAAATGTGTGCCAAGTTACACCGATTTTATGGTTTAATATATGTGGCGCATTTTTGCAAAAAAATGTGGTTGTCAAATTGTACAACAAAAACCTCATTTGAAGTTCTAAGTAAACTTGCAGAATGAGCAAAAATACACTTACATATATATTGTTTAAAGTTCAAGTTTAGAAAAGAAAAAAAAATCGTAGAAAATTGTCTGTGGCGCATGTGGCGATCATCATGTCGGCACAATAAATTTTACCATTAAGTTTAATAATTGATCTTTTAATAATTATAATGTAATTTATTTGGAAATTTTTATTTTTCTGAAAAAAATACATTTATTCAATTCAGCTTCTATTAATTTTTCGACGTTAGATATCTGTTCCTTTATTCCTAGAATATACTCAAGTTGTGTAACGCATCTATAAAACGATACAAAAAAGGATTTAAATTAAAGATTGTGTGACATTCTTGCTTTCAAATAATTTACCGAATTATGTAATTATTTTTTATTCGATAATTGCATATTGGATTTAAATTCTAAATACTATCGTTATCTACGGACCATAAAATTTTCTTAATAGGGAATATTAAACATAAAATCAGCCAACAATTTGTTTATTTATCTGTTGTAACAAATTTTATGTTCTAAATAAGTTGTCGTTATAAAAATTATCTATTCCACTTCCATATGAAGAAAACAGTTTATTGTAATTACAAAGAATATATTTTGATCAAACGAACCCTCATTTTTTTTTTTCAATTGAATACCTATTTTTGGCCTATTTTGTGAATCAATCCGTTATAATTAGAAACTTTTACGGATTTTTATTTTTATCTTTTTGGTAAAAAAAAGTAAAGATTAAGTTCAAACATTTTATTTGTACTATTTAAACCAATTTTTTTTAAAAAAATCATTCCGCCGGATAAGGTATTCTTTGTGCAAAAATATGAGTCATTGTTACATTTAATTAACCAGTTAATCATTTTTATGACAAATAAAAGTTTTTTTCATTATAAAAGAGCCTTTGAAAACCCTTTCATCGGTTTATAACAAGAAATTTTCATCATATAATAATACAAGTAACCCTGCAAACCCTTTCAAATTCACAAAATTACAATTTTGCGCGTTTTTCAAATAAAATGACATACAAGTACAATAATAAGCCTTCACAGAAGGTCAAAAATAAAAAAAAAAGTAAAAAAGTTAAAATTATATATGTACCAATGATTGATATCATTTTGGTTACATGTTCTGGAGAATTTCCAGCAAGTGGAGTAATATTCTCCGCAAAGAAATCCGGGACAGCTGGTCAAGAAGAATACAGCTGGCCAAGAAGATACTGATGGGCAAGTCAGCTGGTCAAGAAGAGTATCCGGACCCTGCTGTCCAAGAGGAATATCCGGATACTGCAGTCCAAGAGGAATATCCTGGATTCTGCTGGGCAGGAGATGGTGCCCCGGCCAGCTGGAAAATGAAGATTATTTAAGTTTCGAAAATATTTAACTCCCCGTTCCAATTAATTCCTTATTAACAACACTCCCCTAAAATTAAGTGAAGCTTTATTTAGAATATTTTTTTTTTTTTTTTTTGTAAATTTTTATTTCTTTTCTATGATATCTGTTTTTTATAATTAATAAAATAAATTAATTTTTAATGTTAAAGAAATTAAATGTTATACTTAAGATTATTCGTTAAGAAAATAGAAATTATGAAAAAACATTATTATGAATGCATTTAAACCAATTATCCATCGAGTTAGAAAAAACAAATACTAATTAGAAAAAATTTTCTACAACTTGCTCATACTTCTTAAAGGTTCAGCTACATCCTTATGCAAAAGCCATTTTGAAAATGTTTCGAGAAGCAGCTTTAACAATGCGGAATAATATCCACTAATTGAGCAAATTTATGAAGCTTCATAAATCTTACATCAATCTAAATTCCGGCGTAAATTATCCAGCGTTAGAATTTGATGCAAAATTTGCAATAACTTCATCAAAAATGAAATCTCTCCCTGCTATGGAAAAATTCAAATGTTCCTCGTTTTAATTTCATCCATGGTAAGAATCTTCCAAGTCATGTCCCATGACAATACTGTCTTACTGCAAGTAAGATAGTTGCACGTGTGACAACTTTTTCTAATTAGATTTTTGATTTTATCCTTATTTTCAGGTATTTCAAAAACTACTTGTAAAAGTTCAACTCCTGTTTCTATAGTCGAAGAATTCAATAATTTCGTATGAACTATTTGATATCTATTTGACTTTTAAAGTAAGAAGAGTTTTTTGTTTCCATTCGATGTTGCATTTCTCTAGGGCATTCAGTTAGTCATCAGAAAAATCAGTTGATGATGAGAATCTAACAAAAGATCTATAAGAATAGTATTATGATATTTTTTAACTTTTATTCTACGATGTTTATATGAATTAATAATTAAATACCTTAAATAATCCATGAATGAATATATTCATCAATTGAAATGTAGTAAGTAGCATGGAATCTTTTTGAGGTAATAAAAAATTGATATTGATAATATAAGGAATATGCAGAAAGGAGCCTAATATTCCCTAATAGTTTATTTGGCTAGCTGTATTTATATAATAACGTGTAGAAAGGTTTAATTATAATATATGATTAATAAATAAATACTTACAATTGTTCTTTTACTTGTTATTCGCTGGGCTAACAACTATAGCCAAAGGAGAGTCTAGGCTTTAATTTAAAAGTTTTTTCGATCAGAAATATTAATTATTCATTCATACCACCAATATTGAATTAATATGTATTTCTATTTGATGTCGCATTTTACTTAATTTATAAAAAGAACATTGTAAAAAAAAACGCGTAAAAAAGACGAGATAGGTTATTTGTATTTCTAAAAAGGATTGTGTAACAACCCATTGAATGTGTCTCAACTCTTTTTTGATGCGTTGATTAAAATTCGACGAAAAAAATTTTTCTATGATTACACGAGTCAACCCTTTGATTAACTCACCGAATAACAAGTATACAATGTAAGTATTTATTTATTTGGTTTCTACGTCTTATTCTATAAAGTACAGCTACCTAATAATCGTCAAAATACAAATGGGACAAATTGTAAATAGTCTTTGAAACTATTAGAGTTTGTAGATTTCACACTGAATAAACTAATATTTTTTTTCTTATTTCTTCATACCAGAGAATTATTTTAGAAATTTTCAATATCAAATGTAAATATCAATGACAAGGACTTGAAATAGTCTTAATATTTAGATATCTATAATGACATCAAAGAGAATAGATTCTTGAAGTTATGATGGAAAAACAGCAGTTATATAGTTCAATATTATAAATGAATCATTAATTAGCTTATAATTATCAATATCCATTTTTTTTTATTAAAAAAAAGATTCCCTCTGGTCCAACTGATGCATCAAGATATGCATGGATTATTTAAGATGTTAAATTATTAAATAATACTTTATTTCAAATTAAAACATTAATTTAAAACATCGCCTTCTTTCACTATTGTTCTATGTACACCGACTTTACGTACGTGTCGTTGATTAATAATGCATATCTAAGATTTAGCTTCAAGATATGATATCCTATTTGGTTGTATTTTAACTACATTGAATGATGAATAGGTAGGTATTGGTTTTAGTTTTATTTGATTCGACCTACAACAACAATATTAAAAAGATTATGCATTCACTTTCACAGCCCTGTATCAATACTGCATTCTTGGATACATAATTGTGGAATTCGATACGAAGAGCTTATGATCCAAGAGTGAATAAATGAAAGCTTGAAAACTTTAAAAATGCATACCGAAAAACCCATTCATGATTCCATATTTTAACGTGATTCGATAATGCGGAATCGCAATGTAAGGATTACAACAACAGTTAATACTTGGAGGGTAGTGTTCAACGACCATACTTTTTTAATGATACTGAGCCTTATTAGATCTATTGATGAATGACTAGCAGCTAATTTATTTAGTTTTTAATGCTTATATATCTTCAAGTGGCAAGATATTAATCGATCAAATCCACTCTACCTTCTTCCTTGTAAAATTATTTCTCTTACGAAATTTCAACTCTATTTGATTTAATCATTTGCAATCCTTCATTAATAATTCATTTAAGGAGGATGTAGATTAGTAGTTGTTATAACGATGTTGGAATGATGAAACCAATTCTAACATTTATTCGAATAAATCGTTTAATCAAAAGTTCCACTTCAAAAAAGAGAGAAATAAAAGCGACAATTAAGATTCGGAAGATGACGCGGGAGAATTGTTGGCAGTCTTTTTATAATTTATGTTTTATATCGTGTTAATAATTTCGTTTAATCTATTATTGTATTATATGATTACTTATCCATTATTTTAGTAAAGTAACTACTAAATTGAATAATTATTATACAATATATGTAATGCATGAACTGAACCCGCAAATCGTTTTATTAGCGACTGTGGTTTATTCATCCAGCTAAAACATTGAAAAAAGTCGTGCCTTTGCTCTCAGGCAAATGATGTTGATTATTGATGCATTGTAGTTTTGAAAGGTAATCTAGCAATCGCTTTTATGGTGGTTATATATTATTTAAAGAAAATTTTGTTTCTTCAATTGTTTAAGTATTAAATATCATTCATTTCATGGATATTTGTATTAATTCATGCTAGTAAGTCTGTTCTATCAAAGCTTTTGTTGAAATATTGTATATATTAATAATATAATTATTAAAAAATGAAGTTTTAAAAAAATAAAAAAAAAGTTCTTATTATTTAGGAATAATAATTAATATTTTTATTTGGATTAGGATTGTATAATTATTTAAAGTTGAAGTAAAATAAATTATCTTAATATAAGTAGCATTTATACATTTTAATTTGATAGTATAATTACAGATATAAATGGGTATAATGCAATAATCATTTTGTTTATTAAATTTTATAAAAATTATATATTTTCTTTATTTATTTATTAATAAAAAATTTTTAATAATGTATTATAATTTTAATAAATATAGATTCAGAAAAATTGAAAAATAATTTGATTTATTTTAATATAATTTAATTTAAATTTTTAACAAAAACAATTTAATTAATATTAATTATTCTAATTATAATAAAATAATTATTTCATATATAAGTTAAATTAAATACATTTATAGGATTAAAAATTCTCTTATTAAAAGTATTCATTAAGCTTTTATTTTTTTTTTAAAAAAAAATTAAATATATTAATAATTATATTTTTTTAATTAGAAAAATGTAGTTGATAATCTGGATCATATAATGATCCTTTATTTTTTAAATATAATGTTATTTATAAGTTTATTAAATTTTTAAAATATAAAAGAATAAAAAATAAAAGTAAAAAATAAAAAACTAAACTATAACTATCTTCTGTAATTTTATTTAAATGAAATAGATCAATTAATAGATGACAATTATATATAAGAGACTATGAGGAGTTATGATAAAGATTTAAAAAAGAAGAAAATTGTAAAGTAGTATTTAAATCTTTTTAAAATTTTTTGAAAGAGGATTTAAAGAAACACTTTTAAAATTGAGGTGAAGTTATAGATCATCTAATACAGTATATTCCAAATTTAACAAAGGTAATGAATATTTATCTTTATCTAAAGTATCAGCTTAATCATTATAAAAATCTTTAAAATATCCTTTGACTTTAACCACATTAATATTTAGGTCAAGTTAGTTAAGTTTGACAATAATATATTTAATTAAAACATAAATTATATAATTAGCAGCTTTTTCTTTGATCCAAGTAGTAAGAGAGTTATCTAAAATATAACTTTCAAAACTTTTAATGACTGATTGATTATTCAGATAACAATTTAGTGATGATTTTGATAGGCATATAATTAAAGCCAAAAAGAAAAAATTGAAAATAAAAATATTAAAGTTAAATTTATCATAATAATAGAAATCAGGATATATTTAATCATATAGGCAACTTTGGGGGTATTGGGACAGATTTCAAAAGATATCCAAAAAAAGATTCCTGACCGCCCGCGAACCCATTTTAGCTATATGAATCAATTA